CAGCTTGGTTTCCCTCTTTCCCCTGCCTCGCCGCGTTTCTGGTCGTGTGTCCCGCGCTCTGCTCGCCGCCTCGCAGGACAGTGAGCGGCCGCCGGGGATTAGCCACGCTCCGGACGCGGCCGGCGCCCCGGAGGAGGTGGAGCGCGGTGCCAGGGGGCGGGAGGGGAGGGAGGGAAGGCGAGCTGCAGACGAGCAGAAAGGAGGCGAGGCCGGGGAAAGAGGGAAACTACGCCCGACAACTAGGGAGGGGGCGAGAAAGAGAAGAAACCCACCCACCCACTCAGAAAGAGGAAAAGAGGAAAAAAATCTCGTGTGGCGCGCCGCCTGGTTACCGGGCAGCCTCGCCAGCAGCAGGGGGTGGGAGCCGACGCTGCCGGAGAGCGAGCAGCCTGGCAGGCACGGACATGGTGCTCCTGGCGCAGGGCGCTTGTTGCTCGAACCAGTGGCTGGCGGCGGTGCTTCTGAGCCTGTGCTCTTGCCTCCCGGTTGGGCAGAGCGTGGACTTCCCCTGGGCGGCCGTGGACAACATGTTGGTGAGGAAAGGTGACACGGCGGTGCTCAGGTAGGGACCGTGCGCCCTTTCCACACTTGCCTCAGTCTATCTTTCTGTCCCCCTTCCCTCTCTCCGCCTTGTTTCACACCTAACGTGAATCCTGCTGTTGCACACTAGCAAAACACCACCCCTCTGGCTACCCACGCATGACCCTTCTGTGGGCTCCTCGGACCCTGGGGCAGGAGTCTGGCCGGGTTGGGGAGGGATGAAGACACTTTCTGGGCAGTCCGGGGCGAGGAGTGTGGTGCTTGAAGGAGGGGCAGGTGCCACTTTGGATCTGGATCTCTGTGCTGCTGCCAGCGATACTCCTGGAGTCTGACAAGTTTACAGGGGTTGTTTCGGCTTCACTCCGTAAGCTACTTTTCCCAACTGCTGGCTCTATGCTCCATTTATTTTCCCTCTCACTAGTATAGTATGATCCAAATATGCCCCGTTCCGCTCTCTGCTCTCTGTTTTTTCTTTTAATGGTTTTCCTTCTTCGTTTCTCCCTTTCCTCTTTGCCTTCCCCATTTCTCTATCTCCTCTCTACTCACCACTCATTGCCTTCACTCTCTCCTTTATCCCCATTCTGTTCTGTTTTCTCTGTAAAACACTCGGTCTTAGTTCCACCGCTGTCATTTCTGATGCCGCCCCCCTTTCTCCAGCTTTCCCTTTTCCCCAATCTCTGGTCCACACCATAGCCCCCCTTATCTCTCCCCTCCAAGACTCTCATACAGAGCTTCATCTCCCGTGCACTTTTCCGTCACACCCACATCATGTTCTGGTACCATTTGCAAACCCTCATAAACCTCGGTGTCAGGAGCACACTCCGTCTCAGCTCTCTGGTCCTCTCACACACTGGCACTTCCATACTGTAAGGACCACTTCACATTCAGATGCTCCCACAGCATTTAAAGATGCACTCCGCACTCACCACACACGTTCACCACCCCCCCACCACACACACACTTCCCTTCCTCTTCTCTCTTCAGTTTTACCTCTTTTCTTCCCCTTATTTTCACTAAGCTCCAACAGCGGCTTGCCGGTCTGGAAAGGATATCCTAGCCCCGGTTTTCCCCATAAACCACACTGCCAAATGTGCCTGGGAAAGATTTCCTTTCCCATTGGATATAAATAACTGATGACCGGTCTTGCTTAGAGCTAAACTGGGCTCGCTAACCGGCCTTGCTCCTTCACTTCACATAGACCTACACGGGCACCCCCACCTGGTTTGCTTCTCCAATCTTCCTGAAGGATCTTCGCTCTCTCCACTGGGTGGTAGTTTGCTTATGAGTACAGATTGCACAGATCCAGTATGATGCACATCGAAGGTGGGGAAGAGTGGCGTCTATTTCTGCTTAACCGGGCGACGTTTTAAATTTAACAATGTGAACTTGGAGTATGACTTAAAGTTTTTTTACGTGTTCTTGAGGCCAGTTTCGCAGATACATTCTGGTACATGTTAATATCATGTTTTAATCATATATCATTCTTGTTATGAATCAAGGAACACAAAAGTCATGGATTTTTGTCACACTATAGTAGGATAACTTTTTTTTTTTTTTGACAAGGGTGGTGGGTGTTTTCTCCTGGAGCAGACATGCCATCCTCCCCGCTTGACTGGGATGTTGGTTTCTTTGAGAAGTTTGAACCGCAGCTTTAGACACAGTCTCAGTTGACAGACACTGAAAGGTTTGTGCTTGAAGTAGCAAATGTCTAACCTGTGGCAAGCAGCACCATTTTCAGCCTGAAGGCTTAGGGCTGTCACTCACCCTGGTGATCTATCTTGGCAATTCCTTTCCTAATGAGCGATTTAATAAGTGGTGTGGTCGATTACAGTATCGGGATCACGTTCTGCTTCCTGGAGACCTTTACTCGGGCAGTGTAGAGCTCCAGGGTCCTCAATGCCATCTTTTCCCTGTCATTTGGAGCACATTTTATCTGCTTTTCTTTTTAATATTAATTTTATAACTCTATAGGAATTTTCCAATTATTGAACTATTAGATTATGCAAGTTTTGGGGATGATTTATTTATTTACATAAAATTGCATCTTCATTAAAATTGCTCTCAGTTGAATAAATTTATCTGAATAAGTCAGATACATTCTAATACATGTTAATGTCATGTTTTAATAATGCATCATTCCTGTTATGAATCTGGGAACACAAACGTAATGGATTTTTGTCACACTATAGTAGAGTGACTTTATTTTTGACAAAGGTAATGGATGTTTTATCATGGAGCAGTTGTGGATTAACCTTCCCCCTTTACTCTGGCTCTTGGTTTCTTTTAGAAGTTTGAACAGCAGCGTTAGACACAATCGTAAACTGAAGATTGTTCTCAGTGCTCTGTGACTTCTTCTGGCAATGATGGGCTCATAAGCGGATACAGTGGCCTTGGGCAACCAGCAGATGGGGCCGACTTGGGGGCCATGTTGTCACTAGAAGTAAACCCTTCGGGAGATATATGTTTCAAATTATTCTTGAGACTATATATAAGTCATTAGAAAAACAGAACTCTATCCTGCAGACACACAGCCTCTGTTCAGGGAAGTTTGTGAACTGAATACCTAAGACAACACCTAATAGGATGAGGTGACGATTTATTCTATTTTTGTCACGCCTATTCCTCAAAGCATCTCATAGAGAGAGAGAACAGTAAAGAAACAGCCATCCAATGTCTTCAAGTGCTAAAAACCTGGCAGTTCAAACATGTCAGTCAGTGATGCTGGATCTTGCGGCTGTTAATAAAGGATAAAGTCAAAGGTCAGCTGATTCCCTTCCACCTCCAAAGTGCCAGGGAGTCCATTTTAGGAAGGGAATAACAAAAAAGTAAACAAACGAGAAGAAACTTCCCTTGAGTGGATCTATAACACAAAGGACATCCACCTTGCCGCTTTCTACCGGCTTCCACCTCATATTTGACATCACCGTTTAGGTCACCGACAGGAGATACAATGGGTTATAGGGTGGGTCGTCTGCCAAGGTTTCCGTCCTTCCCTCTGCCTTTTCAGGCCAGTGAAGGCTTTGCAACGCAGACCCCGTGAAGATTAGGTAGAACTGTTCAGATCTTCCTGTAAGGATTTTCTCAATGCATGTGTTTAGCAGAGTAACTCTTACCTAAAGTTCGGATTTAAAAAACACGTGGTCTTCTCTGGTCCTTTGTAGATCTCTATCATAGATATTTACTCCAGTTGTGCCAATACAGTCATCAATCCTTACGAAATTTAACCACGTTATTCTGTTCCTAAGAAACTGCGTCAGTTGGTAAATGGAATGGGGTACTTTCCTTCCAGTCTTCTGGCTGCATTTTGTTGTGTGTGGCACATCTGAGTTGTGATGTCATTTGGTGAGGAAGTAGAGGGCAATCAAGGCAAGAAGTCTGGTGAACTTGCATTAGGTCCCAGGGCTGCTAGACCCGAAGAACTGAGACACCCTTCTGAAATTTACATACCACTCAGATTGCTTTTAACTAAAACAGCAACCAATTGCTTTATTCCTGCTTCTTTGGCAAGTCTTGCTGGGTAAACAGGTTGAAGATGTTTCCTGGTCTTTGTACGCAGTCCCACAGCATCCTCACTTGTAGCCTCTTCTGAACAGTGCATTTTAAAATTATATTCTATTTCAACTCTTTTTTCTCCAGTATGTTTCTCATTCAACCATTCTGCATGAATTTTGTATATTTTCAACCACTTTCCTGATATTAATTCAAGGTAACTTAGTCTATGTTTTTCATGGCTTTTAATCAAAAAAAGGAAGGGGAAAGTCTTCCCTGATAAGTGATCCATTTTCTTACTTCAACAAAACGAACATAACTCAGCTATCCCATGCTCTGGACTTGACTGTCAGTCACTGGGTAACACACTAAGACTTCTGATGAGTAGAGTGGGCCATGCAGCTGTACTAGAATGCATGCTTCCACAGAGGACAGCTCTGCCCAAAACATACAGTCTTGCCAGTAGATTTAGAAATGGTGCCTTTAGTATTTATTCCTGTAGGCCAACACATTTGCTGTTTTTATTTCACATTAAGTAACCTC